CCGGGCGGGGACGGTGCGACCCTTGGCCAAGGATGGGAGGGCGACGGCCGTTGTGCGAGACCTCGACTCGCGGCCCCTGTGACGAGCGCTTTGTGCCGCAGATTCCCTGGCCGTGATGTCAGTGGACATGGGGAGCGAGTCCATGAAGATCGCCATCGTCAAGCCCGGGGTGCCGATGGAAATCGTCCTGAACAGGTGAGCGGGCGCCCCCCCCCCGCGCGGTCACCCGCGGCCGTTCTGGAGGATCCCGCGTAATTTCTATCCCTCGCTTTAGGGAGTCTCGAAGGAAAACCCCAGTAGCCGTGACGCTGAAGGAGGACGAGCGCCTCTTTGGCGACAGCGCGGCGGGCATGGTAAGCCCCCGGATTCCGTCGGGCATCTCTTCTCTCAGGCGGTTCCGGCTACTTCTCGACAACTCTTGAGCTGCATGTGTGTTATTTCTGCCTGCCTCTGCTGTCCTTTTTCACGCGCTCTGCTCATCAGGCCGCTCAGCAGCTCGCAAGAATTCTTTGCCTTTTGGATCCATGCTGCAAAATGCTAACTCTGCTAGATCGGCTCAGTGTTTTGAAATTGCTCCATTTTAGGTTTATTGTGGGAAAAGGGGCTGCTGCTGCTGCTGCTGCTGCTGCTTAGCGTTACGTGTTGCGACACCTTTATTTTACAGGCCATCAAAAGTCCAAAGGTCGTCTTCCGGTATTTCCAGGATCTTCTGGGCAAGCGTTTTAATAACCCCCAAGTGGCACGGTACCAGTCCTGGTTCCCAGAGCATCAGCTGGAGAAAGATGCAAGGAGGGAGACGGTCATCTTCAGACTCTCGGAGTGAGTGTCCACAGGCAGCTGTCTCTGGTTGCTCAGACGCTGTGACCAGGTTGAGCCAGAGTCTTGCACCTCCTGGAAATGAGTTGTGTGTTTCGCTTTTTTTTTCTGGGCGTTGACCATGTCTGTCAAGTGCCTCTTGCAATAGCTGTTGTGCAGGATGGGTGTCTGCCTGCCATTATTCAAGGAGCAGGATTTGGCTCACGTGCACTTTAACGTGAGGGATCTCACAGTGAACTGCACATGACAGTTCAACACTGATAGGATCTAATCCTCTACAACACGTATTTCTACAATAATTTTTAGGGGGATTTGATTCTTCTTGTTCTTTGCAGAAAGTTGCAGTATTCTCCAGAAGAGATCCTGGGCATGGTCCTGAACTATTCTCGGGCACTGGCTGAGGACTTTGCAGGTTGGAATTTTTCTTCTGTGTACACTGAAGCACAAGAATTGACTTTACTTCTGGGGATGATGTGCAAGAAAAGCAGGGGAAGTGATTCTCCAGGTGTTGTTAAGTTTCTGTTTTGTTAACTGCTTTCAGCAATACTGAACAATGAGATTAACAGTGTAATTATTGGCGTCTAGGTTCCTTATTACTAGACTTTCTTCCCTGAGATGTTGGGAGATGGAAGCATGGAGTATTCTCAGGGTCAGCCACATCCCTTTGCAACGTTCATGCTGTTCCTAGAAATGTTAACAGCCCTTACATTGCTAATATTTTGGAAATCTCTTAAATTTTGGTTTTTCTGGAGGGTGTTTGGAGTGTGATGTCGCTCATAGTTTTAGGATACCATTTTAACTTTAACATAAGGTTTTGACAACAACCTGTCAAAGATGCTATAACCATTATATAGTTCTGTTTTGTTTTACTGTTGCTGACTTTATTTAAATTATTTTTAGTTATGTTATTGCTTTGTTAGCTGCCCGGTATGTTGTTGAAATGAGGTCAACGTTGTAAATAAGTCTCCTTTAGGAGTTATGTGTTGTTCGCAAGCGAAGTAAACGAGGAAAAGTTAAAGGCTACGAGTTAACTAATGGCTTTCTCTGCTCCTCTCAGAGCAACCAGTCAAAGATGCTGTGATCACTGTCCCTGCCTACTTCAACCAGGCAGAGAGGAGAGCCGTCCTGCACGCAGCAAAAATGGCTGATCTCAAGGTTCTGCAGCTCATCAATGATAACACTGCTGTGGCTTTGAACTATGGTGTGTTCCGGAGGAAAGACATCAATGCTACAGCCCAGGTGCTTTTGACCGGGGAAGGTGGTAGTTTGGGACAAACTGGATGGTGGACTATCTCGGCAGGATAATCTGTTTCCCAGTTTCAGTATCAAGCTCTCATTGATTTATTGATTGGTTACATGCCACCAAGTCAGCATCAACTCTTAGCAACCACATAAATAAATTTTCCTCACGGTGATCTGTTCCCAGCCTGGTCCTTCAGGTCTTCTAACGGTGCACCCATTGTCACTAACGGAGCCCATCCACCTGGCTGCTGGTTGTCTGCCTTTCTCAGCTCTGTCCTGCCTAAAAGGAAACATGGACAGACTGCTCCTTTTTGTAAACTGGAGGTCCGCAGCTTTCGTGATCCTGTAGAGTAGAAGTACCACGTGTAAGATGATAGCTCGTGGACAGAAGCATATAGTGCTTTCTGGGCACAGTCCCCACATCTTCAGCGATGGGCAAAGCAGTAGAGAAAAGATATTTGTCAGAACAAGCCAGGCCAGGCTGGATAGACAACAGTCTGAGTTTTGTATCTTTCCTAGAGGAAGCAGAATTGCAGCCGTGAGCGCTTCTTCCAGTGTCTTTGAACTGCCGTCTTTTTCTCTTTTCAGAACATCATGTTCTACGACATGGGGGCAGGTAGTACCGTGTGTACCATTGTGACCTACCAAACTCTGAAAACCAAGGACTCAGGGATCCAACCTCAGTTGCAAATCAGAGGCGTTGGGTAAGATCTCCAGTTTTATGGGAAGTCAGAAGAAAGGGGATGCACAAATGAGTTGGAAAGTTTGATGGAAGAGAACAGAGGCCGTGCTTCAGAGTGATGAGGGGGGGAGTCAGAGGGGATGGTTGGGCCTATTTACAAGTAGTTCATGCTGACATCCTTCTCCCCCTGACTGTTTTTGTTCAGCTTTGATCGTATGCTGGGGGGGCTGGGGATGGAGCTGCGCCTTCGTGACCATCTGGCTAAGCTCTTCAATGAGCAGCACCCACTCAAAGACGTCCGGCGTAATCTCCGTGCCATGGCCAAGCTGCTGAAGGAAGCCAATCGCGTGAAAACTGTGCTGAGTGCCAACCTGGACCATGTGGCCCAGGTAGGTGATGTCCAGAGCTCTTGTCTGTACCTGCACGGTGTAAGGATCCCTGAGATTGGTAGCCAGATAAAGGGGGCCAGGAGCGAGCAGTTGATGATGGCTTTAAGGAGGGAGGGGAGCAAGGGTCTCCCAGGCCGGTTCTTAGTCCAGAGGATTTGAAGTGAAACATATTGTGGGCTGCTCTCAGCATCTCCTCTTTTCCAGGTTGAAGGGTTATTAGATGACATCGATTTCAAGGCCAAGGTTTCCCGACAGGAGTTTGAGAATCTGTGCTCTGACTTGTTCGAGAGGGTGGCAGGACCCGTCCAACAGGCCCTTAGCAGCGCTGAGATGAGTCTGGTAGGTACAGCAGTGGTCGGAAACAGCCTTTCAGTGTTGTGGGGCTCCACCAATTATTAGCAGAGGAGCTGGGGTGGAATTACACAGCAGCCTGTCCTTGCCGTTTAGAAGATGTCATTTTGTATAATAACAGTATTAATTGTAATACGTTCATGTTTCTGAACTTGTATGGTGCTGTTAGAAACGCGTGATAGATAAAATTGCTGCTGCTGCCGCCTGCCAGCCCAGAATGGGATAACAAGGCTTAGCCTGAACTCCTGAAAGTGAGGCTCTGTCCCTTTCTCCCGTTCTTAGAATGAGATTGACCAAGTGATCCTCGTTGGTGGGGCTACTCGTGTGCCAAAGGTGCAAGAATTTCTACTAAAAGCAGTTGGCAAGTAAGGCCCCTTCCTTTGCCTCCTCCCAACTGCCTTCTCGGGTGGTTCAGCATAGACCGTCACCCCTCAAACAAGGCACCCTTCCTGGGCGGCCATACTAGATGCTTTCTCCTGGCAGTGTTGGCAGGGCTCCCGAGAGCCATCTGCTGCCTTGCTCAGAGATGAGACTCCTGGGGGGAGGCTGAGGCCAGCTGCTTCCTGCTGTATGAGGAGAGGGCACACTGGGGCTCTCTGCTGCGCCCACTGGGCCTTACCTCATCTGGAGGAGGGCTCAGCTAGCAATGCCAGCATTTGTCAAGGTGCACCCAAGCAAGAGGCTGTGACCTATATGAAAGTGGGGGGGGGCAACAGGTCCTTAGTTGCCTCCTGAGAAGCCACCCCGACTGGTGGAGCAGAAGGGTAGCTCTGTCTTCTGCCGCCCCAGGGAGGAGCTGGGGAAGAACATTAACGCAGATGAGGCTGCCGCGATGGGTGCCGTCTACCAGGCAGCTGCTCTGAGTAAAGCCTTCAAGGTGAAGCCTTTCATTGTCCGGGACGCAGCCATGTACCCAATCCAGGTAAGCTTTCTGGGAAGGGCAGCCAAGGCTGAGGGGAAGCGAAAGCATCGGCCGAGGGCTGATCGACATCCAGAGCGGTGAAGAGGCCTTCTCCTCCCCTTTCCCTCCCACAGGTTGAGTTCACTCGCGAAGTCGAAGAGGAGGATAAGTCTAAGAGTTTGAAGCACAACCGGCGCATCCTCTTCCAGCGCATGGCTCCGTATCCTCAGCGCAAGGTCATCACCTTCAACCGGTACACAGATGACTTTGAATTCCAGGTCAACTATGCTGATGTGGGTTTCCTGAGTGAGAGCGACTTACGGTGAGGGCATTTCTGGGCCAGCTGTTAAAGTCTGTCCGCTTTTGCCTGTGCGGCTCCTAGGGCAATGCACGGGGACCTGCTCTTTTGAAGGGAGGGATGTGGGGTGAAATACAAAAGCCTCGACCTCATTCGCTTCCAGAGCTGAAGCCTCTGTGTGGGTTTGGCATGGTGCGTCCCCGCAGCTCCTTTCGGAACTGGTGGGTGGACAGCTAAGGAGAAGATCTTTGCCCGTGTTGCACAGGGGGTCGGGATCTCCGATGCAGAATGAGGAGGGTGGGAGGAGCAGCCTCGTTGCTCATCTGTCTCCATCTTGCTGCAGAGTTTTTGGGTCCCTGAATCTCACAAAGGTGAAGCTGCATGGTGTGGGCGAGAGCTTCAAGAAACACCTGGATTATGAGTCAAAGGGCATTAAGGCTCATTTCAATATGGATGAGAGTGGCGTGCTGAGTCTTGATCGTGTAAGTCAAGGAGGGCCCTTAATCTTGGGGGAGGGCTGCAGAGTAGGTCACGCTACATTGCAGTGTAAGGGACATTGGATTTTTATGTATTTTCCACTGTGATGTACCTTTGTGAAAGTTTTCGCTATGGTTTTCATGTGTTTGTTTTTTCAAAATGGTGGAAAACTCTTCTGTCAATGTTCAGCAGTCATGATCGGTGGGGGTTTCAAAGGCCAGGGGCCATGGGTTGCCCACCCGGCACAAGTCCTGCTGCTGAGCCTTGCAGCTCCAGCCTGCATTACAGCTACCGGTGTGTTTTTCTGTAATCTTCCAGGTGGAATCTGTGTTTGAGGCAGTGGTAGAGGACAAACCAGAAGAGGAATCCACACTCACCAGTAAGTCCTTCATTTTAGGGGCTTCGCATGTTATTGGGACAGAGGGACAGCAAAAATTCTGCCCCACTTGCCCCTTGGCTCCAGCCAAGACTTGGCCTTGTCTGAAGCCATTCTGAGGCTTGATTCTTCTTTGGGGCAGAACTTGGGAACACAATTTCCAGCCTGTTTGGAGGAGGCAGTCCTGGGCCAGAAGCACTTGAGAATGCGACTGAGACTGTTCACGTGAGTAAGGGCTGGAGCCCAATGCAGGCCAGAGTAGAGTTAGTATCAACATGGGGGGTGGGGATTCAGCATACCCTTGATTTTGTATGGGATTGTAAGAGGCACATGTGGATCTAAGAGGGCATCAGCCTTGACTGGCCATGGTTGTTCTGTGGGCTCTGGTTGGGCTTCCTGGGTCTCTCCAGAGTCCTACTGACTTGGCTGAGTCATCTGCCTTTGCAGAAGGGTTATCGTGGTCCTTTGTTGTTTTTCACCCCTTGCTGTCCAGGAGGAAGAGGAGGGTCAAGCAGAAGTGGGTAGAGAAGATCAGAAGGACCACGCTGGGCCTGCTACTGAGGAGAGCAATGAGCAGCCGCTCTCAGCTCAGGAGAAACCTGCTGGAGAAGTTTCTGCCACTAAGGACCAGCAGGAGGAGGGTGGAGAAAAGGGAAGCCCCAAGGTGAAGGGCACCTTTTTCTCTGGCCGGGTGGAATACTTTCTTGGGGTGAAGGAGCATCATCCTCCAAGTGGAGGAGAACTTTCCATGTGATGACCACAGAGATCTGAAGAGCTGGTATCTCCCCTCCATGGGGCCCATGTTTGGTCAATGGGCTTGTTCTAATGCTTGTCTCACCTTTGTTTTCTACTGTGGTTGATAGTGATCTGCACTGGCTCTCAGCCTGCAGACACTCCCGTAGCCTGACTGGCCCCCCAGTGACCCCCCCAGTTAGGGACTGTATGATCCAGCGAAGCAGGGTTGGTCGGAGTGACTCACTGTGGTAACGTAATCTCAGTACTGGATCTCACCTGCTCCAGAGGCACGATAAAACCTCATCTACCTAGCCTGCAGATGAGAGAGCATAATCTTTGACAAAAGAAAAAGGGTTGTTCCAGCTAGCAGCTGAAAAACAGCCTTTCCTTGCCTTGCAATTGTTCCATCCAGGAAGCCACAGAGAAACCAGAGATGGGAAAGGGGGAGGAGCCTGCGAAAAGTCCTGAGAGCAATGGGAAAGCAGCAGCAGAGCAGCTGGAGGAGGAGAAGAAAGCCAAGAGGCAGAGGCTAGTGGAGGAGATCGCTGTGGAGCTTGATGTGCATGATGTGCTGGAGCTGTTGCCCGAGGAGCTGCAAAGCTCCAGCCAGAAGTAGGTGTGGTCGGTCTCCTTTGGGGAGCAGTATGCTGGCACCACAGAGAGACGCTCTCCTCCTTGCCCTTTGGGGAAACTGGCAGTCTGGCACTTTGTCCTTCTAATCTTTTCCAACGACAGGTTGCAAGATTTGACGGAAAGGGACCTGGAGAAGCAGGAGAGGGAAAAATCCGCCAACAGCCTCGAGGCCTTCATTTTTGAGACCCAGGTAAGAGCGCAAGATAAACTTCTCTTAAAGGAAGCTTGCTAGATCGGAACAGCCTGGCCTCAGCCAAACCTAGCCTGGGAGTTGACTTGCCTGTCCTCTTCAGCGGTGAAGAAGCACCCAGTCAGAAGAAGACAAAGAACGCATATTCTCCCAGGTGTCATCAGAGACTCTTCTTCAGAAAAATGACTTCTTGTGTTTTACAGGACAAGCTCTATCAGGAGGAGTACCAGTTTGTTTCATCTGAAGAAGAAAGGGAGGAAATATCTAGGAAACTGAGTGAAGCTTCCAGCTGGATGGAAGATGAGGGTTACATAGCCCCTACAAAGGTTAGCTAAGTACATTTGAAAAACGACAACTTGGTGGCTCTGTTAGGCTACATCAAGCAAGACACAGACAACATGTGGACCTGCAGATGTTGGATTGCAGTTCCCAACATCCCTCACCACTGGCCATGTTGGCAAGGGCAGATTAAAATGGGGGTTCATAGCCACCAGGGTGGGTGTGTTTTGTGTGGCCTTTTCTTGTCGGAGGAGCTCTGACAACCTTTGTGGGGGAGAGAGAGACTGCGTTGCACCACCACTGGGCTGGTTAATCAGAGCAGCAGAGCACTGTGACAGGCAACGGAGCTTGCCCAGCACCTGACCCATTAATTGTGGGTCCCATTAACTGCCGGGTCCGGTTCTGCATGGATCCCTCTGCTTGTCCGGGCTGCCCCTGCAGCTCCTGTTCTGAGCTCCTACCGCATCAGAAACCTTTAAAGAGTGGGATCTGTGCTGTGTCACATTTCCTCTCCGTTGCCGTTTCCAGGAACTGAAGGAGAGGCTTTCTGAGCTGAGGAAGTTGTGCCGGAGCCTCTTCTTCCGGGTGGAGGAGAGACGGAAGTGGCCAGAGCGCCTTGCTGCCCTGGAAAGCCTGCTGAATCACTCCAGTATCTTCCTCAGGTGGGAAGGACACGGGGGGCAGGGCCTCAGACTTCCCTCCTTGAGAGAATCATCAGCTCGTCGGCTTCTACAGAGTTGTAGTCGGCATATAAATATCTTTTGGCTTTTTAGTCCTTCCACAGCGTTTTATGAATTGTGTAAGATGTGGTATCATTGGTTCTGTGGGCATCAGCCAAAAGGGATTTCTCAGGGAGACTTCACACTGTGGGGCCAAATATCGTTGAGTTAAACTGAAGTGCAGTTCCACTTGCAAAAATGCCTCTTGCTACCTGATCCCTGATTTTTCAAGCAGTGGTTGTGCCTCATTTCACGCTGTTGGTGCACTTTCAGTCCAGCGTAATCGCTTGAAGTATGCTCTCCTCTCCCTACCAGGAAGTGAAAATTCTTCCATGCCCGCCAGCCTTCTGGGCACCAGCTGTCCTCTTGGGAAGGAGGGGCACCTTGAGCACATGTGCCAAAGCCACCAGTCTAGCTGAGGTGCTGTGGAGGTCTGAGCTTTTGCTGCAGGCAAGTTGGGAATGAGCGTGTCTCGTGCTCTTTTTCAGGGGAGCGCAGATGATCCCGGAGGCCGATCAGATATTCACAGAGATAGAGCTGAGCACTTTGGGGAAAGCCATAAACGAGACAGAGGTAAGCACGGGCACAGGAGGTGCCGAAAATGTTGGGGATCCAAACCTGCAGGCGGGGGGACACCTCTCATCTCCTAGGCACCTTTGGGGCACCTTTGGTGAGCCCACAGACAGGAGAGGGGGACAACCACTGGCTATGCAGCAGCAGTCTGTCTTGGATTCGGGAGCTGCACTCAGTCACTTTGATGAAAAACGCAGCCTTCTGCTCCTGGATGTGTCAGTGCTCATCCTCCCTTCAAGTTTCTTTTTTGATGAGAAGTCAGTTACCTAGGGCGGCCCTGCTCTATGGGAGGAGAAAGAATCTCCATTCAGCTTGGCCAGAATTTGTGGGCAGTCAGCATCCTCGGATGGTCCCACTGAGTTCCAGGACCATCAGCTTTTGTCACACTTTCTATTATTTTATGAAATGTTCAAAAGAGAGCTGTAATATCCCTCAGGAGGGGCCTTGTCAGGCTCCCCAGCAGTGATATTCCCAGTGTAGGGAAGGGGCTTACTCAGAAGACTACCAGCCCTCACTGCCCCTGATGTTTTTCCTAGCTGTGGAAGAAGGAGACCCTGGCCGAGCAGAGCAAGCTGCCCCCCACTGCCAAGCCCATCCTGCTTTCCAAAGACATTGAGATGAAAATCGCAGGCTTGGATCGGGAGGTGCAGTATCTCCTGAATAAGGCCAAGTTCACCAAGCCCAAGAAGAGAGAGAACGCCACGAAAACACAAGCAAACAGGAACACCACTGGATCTCCAGAGAATGGCAAGACCATTCCTCCCAAGGAGGACAATCGGGAAGGTAAGCGGGTCTTCTGGCAGCCACGGGCCCAGGTCCCTTGCTACCAGATTCCTGGATTAGAGCCAGAGCAGCCCTTGAAAGCCCTCTGGGTGCCTCTGCTGGGCTGCCTGCAGGGTGAACGCTAACCTGAGAAGGAAAAAGATGAGGGAGTGGTTGAAGGCAGGAAGGTTTCTCCCCTCCGTGACTGTGGATACTGTGTTTTTCCTGCCTGGAGCAGATCAGCCGGAAGATGCCAGCCCAGTCAAAGAACCACCTGCAGAGGAAGAAATGCCACTTGATAATGAATTGGACCCAGATGGAGGTAAGGAAACCCCAACAGAGGAGAGCTGGAATTGGACATGTGATGAGGGACCATTTTCCTTGGTCCCTTCCATTATACTGGAGTCCAGGCATCTCTTTGCTAGAGGTAGTAGGCTCCCGGATTCATCCAGGGCCGCGAATGCCACAGCGCAGCTGCCCTTGAAACATGGCTGGCGGTGGACTCCTTGTGCAGCGCCAGAGGCCAGGTTCTCAGACAGTCTGGCTTACCTGAGCTGAGCTCCTACCGTACCCTGCTCATCCGTTGCTCCTACTTGGCTCTTCCTGCCATCAACAAAGAACACCTGCTTGCCTAAAGCTGAAAGGAAACTGCAGGAGGAGCCAAAGGAGGGAGGTTAGCCATGCTCCAGCTGCTTATTCGTTCATGGGAGGCCAGGGTTTTCAAGGTATTTGGCCTTATCTTTAATCAGAAAGCGTTCAGACAAATATATGAACAAAAGATACAGGTACAGGTAGTCCTTGGTATGATGTAATTGGGACCAGAATTTCTGTCGCTAAGCAATGCAGTCGTAAAGCACATCATCTGACCGCATCAATTAGTGATGGCAATCCCAGCAGTCCCTGTTGCCGTTGTTAACTGAATCCCACCAGTTAGGCGAGGACCCACCCCGATCCAAGCCATTCCCGGCTTGGTCCCTCCCATCCCCAAGCCTCGGTAAGATAAGGGACTGCCTCCTCTTCAACTGCCCCTACCTACCTATCTCCCCTCCCCAGTCACTGCCCTTTCGGCTGCCCACCTACGTGCTGCCGCCCACTGCCCAGCCCTGGTCGCGCCCATTGCACAGCATACCACTATTGTACCAGCCAGGGCCGGGGTTTCTCTTGCCTGACCCTCTGTTTTCATGAAAGAAGTCCGGCATACGAAAAAAGGACCTGGCTAGAAGGGTCCTTCACTTCAGTCACTGAACGAATAGACGTTAAGCAAGGACTACAGATAGCTGACCAACTACTCGTTCAGTGACTGTTTGAAGTTGCGACGGCTCTGAATGAGTGGTACTTATGTCCTCAAATTCTGGATGTTGCACCACCCCCACAGTCACGTGATCACTGTTTGCGACCTTCCCCACCAGCTTCCCACAAGCAAAGTCAATGAGGAAGCTGGCAGGGAAGGTCACAAGTTCGGTAAGTTCCTCTGGCCTCCCTGCACTCACAACAACCCATGTCCTCCTCCTCCTCGCCTTCCTGTGCTCGTGTGGTGCCACACCCTGCTCCCCCTGGTGATTATGATGGCAACTGGGACTGCCGGGATTGTCGTCGCTAAGTGATGCGGTCACGTGATATTGCGCTTTACGGCTGCATCGCTTAGCAACAGCAATCCTGGTCCTAACTGCCGTCATAACCCAAGGACTACCTGTATAATTTCCAACATAGAATAATAGCAAGTTGAAATTCCGCACGGATGATGGAAAAGTAACGGTAGTTGAATGTATTTTGTGCAAAGCTGCCTAAGTGGGCTGGGGCTTTCCACTAGCACCCAGCCGGGAGCTGCTGAGCCCAGTCCAAAGGGGGCACTCAGAACCCCGAGCGAGTCCCACAATTGGCCAGAGACCACGTGGTGGTGGGGACTGTCCTGCCGTTAGACAAATGGGAGCAGCCACCTCAAAAGGCAAAGCAGGATGTTTCTGAAAATGCTTCCTGGTCCTTGCACCTGACTTAACTTACCTGTTGAATGATCCTTCCTGTGGTCATTTTTATCTTTACTATAGGCCCGCAAACAGATAAGAATCCAGAACCAAAAGAAGAGACCAGAACTACTGATGAATTATAACACTTCCTCAATTCCCTGTGTGCATCATCAACATCTATTTATTTACAGTTAATTTTGCTGTTTTTATGATGGACATGGTTAGCGGAACATGGCACAAACTGATGACAAAATGCAATAGAATTGTATTTTTTCCCCTTTTTGTTTGAGGATTTCGTTGTTGCTGATTTGGAAATGTTGTGCTGTATCAACTCCTTTCTTTAAGGATGACTTTCAGCTCTTTGGAAATGTTTGCGGGGTCTGTCCCAGCTTTTTCCGTGGGATTGGCATTTTTCTGTGGTGGACTACAGCTACCTGGAGTGCTCTGGGACACAGTGCAGCGCATCTGCCCCAGGCTCTGCTCTCAGTGCAGAGAGCAGGGCCTGCAGCCACTCTCCTTGGCAGTGGAAAACCTGAACCCTCTGAACGTGATGCGTGGATTAAGCCTGCCTGAGGGGCTCCTGCGTCATCTGACTGTCAGGCTGCTGCTATCACTGTGCCACAAAGTCAGACGAAGCATAAATGGGTAGGCGATAACAGGCCGAAAGAAGCCCTAAACACTCCCCGCTTTATCGTATGAGGACCTAATATAAAACAAAAAGGCCCTCAGTGCCCGGGTCTAGAATCGGGCCTGGCCGCTGATGACCCCTATCCTCATCCCCGCTTTCTGTCCACCGTTAATGCTCTGGCCAGGTTTCGCCCTTCTCTGTGCGGTTTAAGGGCCTCCGGGCAACCACGCTGCTGCTGCTCCGCCTGGCCAAAGCGAGGGAAGCAGCAGCCCTTCTCCAGCGGAGGGCAGAGGGCGGGCTGCTGCTGCTGCTGCTCCTCGCTCCTGAGGTTTGCGCGTCCGACTCCTGGAGCCCCTCAGCCGCCCTGCGCACCGTCCTTGACCTTAGCCGGGTCTCCTGTTTTGCTCGCGTGGGGGGGAGGGCAGGAAGCCACCTGTAGGGTTTGCTGTCCCCGGGCACGCGCGCCGCTTGTCGTCCGTCGCAGCGGATGAGGAACGGAGGGGGTCATCCTTCGCCGTACGCCAAGACGTCCCGAAGCTTCGGTTTCCAGCAGCGCGGCCTCGCCGGCCTGAACGCCGCCGCCCCGTCGTCCTCGGCCCCGGGAGTCCGCCTCGCGGGACAGGACGGGATATTCATTCGGCGTTCGGCGCCGCTGGACTACATCGGCCTGGAAACGCGCACGTTGAGTTTCTCTAAGCCTGTAACTGAGGAATTTCTTCCTGTTCAGAAGTAATAGAGTAAACCGCAAGTTCTACAGCGTGTACGTGTGAAAGTCGATTGTATAGTGGCAGCGTGCTGCACGTCGCGAGCCCGTTACGCGTGTGCAACGCTCGCGGATCCGCCTCGCGCTCCTTCCCCTCCGCTCCCCGGAACGGCCTGCGAACGCCCCGCGGCGATGGACACGCGGGCTTCGTCTGTCGAGGGGTGTCTTGGGGTCCGATTATTTTCAGAGCTTTTTTTTTT